TAATGTTGCAATTACGCACTTCTTCTACAGTCTTTATCCAATTAATATGTCACTCAAGTCGGGCTCTGAAAGCTCTGTCAGTCAAATGATGGTTTGAAGTGTTGTGTGTGTGTGTGTCTGTCTGTCCGTGCACATATATATAAACACTTCTATGTATGCATATACACATATCTGACCTTAGGAATCCTAAACAATGAATGCTGTTGCTTGTGTGTGTGCCTGAGCACACTGCCTACACATAAGAGCATACTTATTTATGTGCACACACACATAAACATTTTTCTGTCTGGTGTATTAGGGTGAAAACCCAACTGAGCATTGATGTATAATATACATCAATATCAATATTATACACTTACACAACAACGCTTTCAATTTCTCAAAGATGATAATGAACTGCATTTATTCCTAGTATACTAGTAGCAACAAGTACCAAAGTTTCACACCACCCTTTCCATTCAAAACAACAAACCACAAAAAAGCTACATTTTGGCATTTTGGCAGGGTTGAATATGACTATTTAAAAGTATATATGACCAAAGAGCTGAAAGTAGAGATCTACATTCCAGTTATCAAACATATAATCATGTACTGAAAGAAACCAGGGGCCAGTTGTACTTTAATTGAACTTGTTATCTAATTTAGAAAGGTTTACTTTATATGACTTTCCTGTGTACATTTTTGAGTAATTCCTAAATGATGTTTGTACTCTCATCATTGGTGTGTGTGTGTGTGTGTGTGTTTCTACTTGTTGATGTGTGTGCATGCATGCGGTTTTTGTGTCCGTGCGTGTGTGTAATTAGGTCGATGCTGTAATTGTCTCTGCAGAGATTGTGCTTGCAGTGGGGCGGGCCGCTCTGTCAGTAGGCCCCCAGAAAGATAGATGTCCTCCAAGAAAGGCAGTCTGAGGAGATTAGAGAGGAGCGTAAAGCCTGAGACTCTCAGTTGGGAACAGAATCACAGAAAAAAGTTTTACAGGAATGTGGATGTGCCACTTTCAGCACGTCCAGGACTCCAGTTAGTGACAGTGTTACTATTTGTTTCACTTATTACAAATAACATTGTGGTTTTAAAAAACAAAAAACACAGATTATTTATGTGTTGAGAATGGTTTAACACGATGTGCAATAACAAAGTCCCTATGATCAAAATAATCCCATTATAGACATTAAGTGGCTTATTATCAATAATAATCAATAATAAATAGTTTTGTAACAATTGTTTGATTGTTTCAGAGTAGATGTCCACTTTCTTTCAAATACTTTTAACCAGTGTGCTCAGGTGTGAGTTAAGTAAGACATTAAAGACTTAAATGGGAGTTTATAGTAACATCATGTGGTATGTTGTATTTTAGGTGGCAAAAGTGAATCCCAAAGACAGCAGCTACCTGCTGAGGGATGACTTCTACAAGCACGTGCAGAGGGATTGGCCAGGACACAGCGAGGAAGAGAGGCAGCTGATCAGCAGGCTGTTGGCCAGGTGGGTTTATTTTAATATCTCCTCCACATCTTCTTCTCTTGGTCACACATATCTCAGGTGCTAATCAACACTTGGAAACAGAAGGTGCCTGTACCTGTCACACTAACAAGCTGCTTCATTCATGCTCAACTTTATTCGTTCTCTTGTAAATCCACAGAACTTTGCAGTGACATCTGTTAGATGTAGTTTTGAAATTGGTACTGACAATATGTTTTTTGTCTCATCTGCAAATGTCCCTGTTCTATCTTCCTGTTTAACAGGAAGTTGCAGCCGCATATCAGCCACCAATCGAGAAATCTTCAAGCAAATGTGTCGATACTGAAGACCCCAGAGGATACGACGCTACATCACAGCACAGCAAAAAATCCTGCAGTGGTAAATGGACATATTGTGTAAAACTGTATTAGTCTGTGTGTAACATACAGTATGTTTCTATATATGTATATGTAAATAAATTAGTATATATTATACGTTGGCTTGTTGGTTTTTGATGACTGCTTTTTTTACATGGTATGAGTGAAGTCAGTTAGTAAAAGTTGTGAATGGTATTTTGTATCTGTTGCAGATTGTTTCTGTGGTTCTGTAAGGAAATATGAATGCATGATTAGAGTAATAAATCTTAATTTCTCTCTTTTTCTTCTTCCTTTCCCAGAAACGCCCTGTGCCTTTTGACTCGCCGGAAAGGCTAGCTGTTAAGAGACAAAGACTTGCAGACCAGAGGTTGCAACAGCAGCCGACAGTAAACGGACTCTTAAACAATAAAGGACACAACATTGCAACTCCTACCCTTAACCCCAGTTTCCACACAAAGACTGAGTTTCAACGGACAAGTAACCATACTGGTAACCAAAATGGCTTACCAGGGGGCCACAATGGAGTTCCTCTAATGCACAGCACCTCTGACACACCTGTGGGAGAGCAAGAACCCAAAATAAGCAGCCACCAGCCACCGCAGGTCAACTCTAACTGCGCTCACCAGCAGCTCGCCAACAGCCAGCACAGGAAGAAGAAATCTAAAAAGCACAAAGACAAGGAACGAGAGAGGTTAAAAGACAACAAGGGCAGCGAATGGTTAGAGACGAGTCCTGATATCAAGCAGAACCCGGACAAACTTGACAGTAAGGCTCCTTTTTATGTTGATTTTTCTTGTGAATGATGTTAGCATCCATTCGTCTTATACTGTTTGATCACATCCTGGAACCAGCACAGTGACGAAGATGGTGAGTCTAGGCGGATAAACATTTTCCTTCTTTTGACTTGGAGGAAGTTTGGAGATGTCACTTTATTGCTTATTATATGGCAGTGGCTCCATCTCCAAATGCTGTTGAGCTGTTGTTTCTCCTCAACAACTGCAATAACAGGTTAACCACACATACTATGAGCTGATGACCGATGGTTATAATGCGTGAGGTCTCTCTGTGCGACCATTTTGCCAGTATTATCTCATAAGCACATCTGTTTGCTCCCTTAAGCTCCCTCTCTTGAGTCCTCAGTGTTTTATGTGGCTGATTGACTCAACAACAGCCCGGGCAGTGCTTCAGGTCTCTAAGCTAACATGTCTCCTGATACCCACAAGCTGTTAGCAAGTCTGCACAGAGGCGGCCAGGCACACGCGGAAAACAAAAACACATTGCTTAACATTCAAACAATGACAAAGTGCATTGACTCAACTCTTTTTCTTTATCTGGTGCCTTTATTCCAGATCCTGACATCACAAACGCTGTGGCCTCTGAGGAGAAGCCGGATTATGTGCTGTGAGTATGAACATATTTTTAAATGATTTTGTTGTGATTGTTCCATGTGCTATCACTCGGCGTAGTTTCCTTTTAACACATTTAAGAAATAATACTGGCTGTTAAAATATGTGTTAAGTGGGCTTAAATATGCACGTGTGACAATCCTTGTTACAGCTAACTTGGCCTTCTTACGAGATAGCAGGCAACTTTATTTTTTCATTTATTGCTATTGTTTGTTGTGTATGGTAGCAGCATTACAGTGTGGTTATATGCTTCCACCTTGTGTCAAAAAAGATGTACTACACAAATAGAAAAGAAAAGCAGGATTTGAGGAAATGGCCTCTCTTTGCAAAATATTAAAAGGTAATAGTGAATGAAAACATGTGACTAAAATCTATCTGCAAGGTAACATTCCTATGTATGTTTTAATCTGTTGCATAAGTCCATGGCCATGATGATTAGTGCCTGTATATCATCACCCTCTAACTCTATAAGTGTTTGTCTTTGTGTCTCCTTGCAGCACGTACGGCACCATCATGAGTTTGGAGCAACGGCAGAGGTACCAGGAGGATTTTTGTGCAGAGTATGATGAATACAAAGACCTCCACTCTCGGATCGCCACCATAACTCACATGTTTGTTCAGCTAGGATCCAAGATCAAAAGCTTGTCCCCTGGCACGCAAGAATATAAGGTACATATATACACAACTAGATCTGATATGAAATGCTAAGGTGTTATTTTATGCAGGTAAATTAATATTTAGCCTACAATTTAATGATCTGTATTTTGTACCATGTAGATAATGGAAGACCAAATACTAGAAAAGTACAACAAGTATCGGGAGGTAAGTCAAACATTTAAATGGTCTAAGTTATTTTGTTGTTTACTGTTTCATCTCTTTAAAGAAATCATGCACAGATATTTTTTATGCAGTATCACATCTAACATGTAAAGAGACTTAATTTAAGCAGAAACCTTAAGTGATATTGTTTTTTTTCCCTACCAATATTTTTATATTGACCTATAATTTACACTGGTACGGAATTATTGTTGGCTCCAGTAGAATAATTACCTAGTACATTACCACAATGAATCGAATTAACTGTAATTAATGATTTTTATTTAAGGATTTATACAATATCTTTAAGTAGAGTGAACATTCCTACTATCATAGTTATTATTATTTGAGTTCACTTCATTTTGATGATATTCACTTTGAAAGCAATATGGATTACAACTGTAAAATGTTCAAACATGTCTTAAAGGGAAAGTTACTTTCATCAAGTCCCCAGTAAGACAAAATGACAAATTAATACCAAGTGCTAAGCAGCAGAAAGTTGTGGAGATATCTACTAAAAAGTCATGAGCGTGCTTATTTAAAATGTTTTTTAATGTAGAGATGTAGACCTTGTCATCAAATGTTACAATTGTCCTGCACTTTGGTCCATTTATTTCCACCTTCACAAGGGAATATATTTTTGTGAGTAGTGTGAAAACCTTTTATTAAAATGCTTTCTCCTCCCTTCACAGAAGTTCCCTGGATACCGGGAAGAGAAGAAACGGTGCGAGTATCTCCATGAGAAGCTTTCCTACATCAAACAGCTCATCATAGACTATGACGTCTCACAGGCCTCTTCATAGCATCGGCTCTCCGTCCGCTTTATCAGTTTTTTTTATATGGAACTCCCGTCTTTGCATAAACAACATAGGTGTCCAACGAAGCGTTTTTATTGAGAGTGATATAAAAGGTTTTGGATGAAACTTCAGACATCAACACGGCAAGCTCCTGTGAGGATCACAGATGATACTGGGAGCACTAATGATATAAATCAATAGCAGATTCCAGTCTGGTATTTGTAAGTCTATTTGTTTTAAAGTTGTCATTTTTTAACAGATATTTGTTGATGTAAAAAGTCCAAGAAAGAGGAAAAAAAAGTCTTGGTACTAATGAGATCTTGCCATCACAGACAAAAACTAGTTAAAACCAGTTTCAGTGTAAGCCATTTTCTTGGAAATATGTAAAAGGTAGCAAATATGACTTTAACTTATTCACTTTGTTTCTGACACTTGTTAAGTCAAACATTGCTTCAGGCAAGTTTTCCCCTTTCCTTTTCTATGAAGTTCAAAATGCAGCGTAAAAAAAGCAAGTGCTTTTCAATTGCATAACAAAGTTGCCTCATTCATGATACATGATTGAAGCAGCCCCAGCAAAAAAAACCAATTTCAAGTCCTTTCATCTCAGATTCAACATTCACGTCTTATTATGCAAATGTATTGAGATAATTCTACGTGTTCCTAGTGCAATTTCCCTTAATGATTCAGGCATTTATCAGCATGTTTCTATCAGTTGATGCATTAGCAACATCTAGGAAGAAATAGATTTAGTATTGGCACAAGGGAAATAATCTCACCCCTTGGCACAAGGTAATCATTTAGGATATCTTGCAATACAGTGGTCCTGACATATTGGACACTAAATTCAAATCCTTAACATACCTGCTGTCAACCGCTGAATCCAATGAGATAAAACTGGAAAATATTAAAATAGCTGCACATACTCGTACGTATGTACTGTAGAACCAGTTGCAATACAGTACATTGAAGTATGTCTCCCAAATGCACTTGCGTTTAAAGTATTTATTTACCCCACCCCATTCTTTTGAAAGACTGGTAAAGGGACCAAAATGCTTGGCCGTGATGGCTGTTGCAATAATTTGGTGAGGAAAGAGGATTTTCCTCCCCAAAGCCATTACTGAATCAATCAGGCAGGTTAATCAGGCGCCATGTCTACTTTAAAGTATTTCAAAACAGTGGAGAAAAAGAAAGTGTCTTTCCCTCTCAGATTTTGTCTTCTACCTTCTTAGAACTACTGATGTATTTATTTTAAGCCCTCTTCCTCCGCTCTGTGTTGTTGGCCTCCTCAGCTTGAAGCGTCAGGTCTCGTTAGATCAAAGTGTTTCTATCCAAGCAGCTGGGGGAGCGAGGTGGGAGAGGCTGTGAATAGATCAAAGGTCCGTGTTGTATGTTTTGTCTCTGTCTGACCCGACAGAGTTGTGGAGAGTGACTGAGTTAAAGCTGCTCCAAAGTCCTCTAAATATTCATGTCGAAATGGCAACAAAAGGCCTCGGCCCCTTTAACATATGTTCCCCCGGCCGAACACTTGAGCTGTGTCTGAAATTGTTCACTTCCTCACTATAAAGAAGAAACTGTATCACACACAAAGCATGGTGGTATGTTACCTATTTGTTCACATTGTATTGCACTGTTAGATTATTTAAGAATTCAGACAGCACTACAGAACTAAATTGGGGACTTTGTAGTGGACACTGAATGATTTCAGAGTCAGCCCTAGATATTCGGTCTTCAGGGAAACATGGAGCCATATTGGTAAAGATTTTACATAAGCATTTTTGGTACTTGTGTATTTTAAAACACTAGCCTGGAGGGTTTTCTATCCTTCAGTTTCCAGTAAATAATCAGTGCCCATTCTTTGCACTTAACCCAGTCTGAAGAAAGGGGAACGACAGGCGGATAAAATTTCCACTACGATTGTAATCGTTCACCGTGGTTGCAGTTTTTGTACTGAATGTTATCACGCAGACAATGACGTAGAAGCCTTAAGATTACACTTTTTACAGGACAAATCTTCAAACTGCCAATATCAACAAGGAGTCATTATCCACACACATCTGTTCTCTGCCTTATATTATCGTTAGCTGTTACATTTAAACCTGTCTTAGCCATTTCAATGTTCAAATGGATGCCAACAGTGGCTTTGTCACACGTCAGAATATTACTTTCTGGAGGAAATGTTTCATAATGTAATTTTAAAATTGTTTAGTGCACAGTTTCATTGGCTATGGTGGCATAGCTTACTCATCAGTTGCATTTGTAATCGTTGTGGTACTCTGTTTATCATCATCATCTCTGAGATATATGCTCAGGTATTTATCATTAGGAATATCACTTTGGTGTGATATGCGGCTGATATTCCTATTGACATCCCATCTAAATATCATCTTGATTGGAAGACTGTCTTATGTGATATTTAAAGCACACAAAAAATCTATTGTTAATAACAATACTCAATCACTTTCAGGTAGTGGGCGGCAATTATGAGAAGATTTCAGGGCGAAAATGGTATATTGTCAAGCTGTTGATTAAAGACCATAATTATCTGTTGGTTACTGAGTTTGATGGAGATCATAATTAGATTGGGGTTATTGAGTATGATGAAAGAATCACTGGTCTTGAAGACAGAATATTTCTTAAAAAGTCGCTAAATTAATTTTATTTATCTTGTCTTAATCACAAACTTCAACAAAAGGTTCATAAGGCGTTCTGTTTTTTGGACTGGTGCTGGATATTTACAAGGCACCAGTGTGTACTGTGCAGTAGGTGTTTTTATGTACCACGTACCTGCTGAAGGGAAAGCCTCATCTTAGTCACAGAGGAGTCAGAAGAGAGTATGCACTATGGACTACGTTTTACAAATGTATACTTTCTCTTTTTCTGTTGTGCAAAGTTCAAAAGAATAAAAACATCAAAGTGATTTTTGCCTTGAGATTTCCTCATGTTACGAACCTTGCTTCTTGAATTTTCTATGCCGATGATTTGCATCCTTCAGGTTTTCTTTAATCACAACATTGTTCAGCTGTGTGGTCGTCAACAAATATACAGGCCTATGAAGTTCGTCTGTGTATTGATTTGTCCACACGTCCTCACACCTAAACCACTTGATAGGTCAACTGCTAGTAAATGCCGAAAGGATTATTTTTGTCAGGCGAATAGAAGTGTCTGGCTCATGGGATTATGAGACCCCAAAGTAGTTATAGACACAAATACAATATTTAACATTGTAAACAAACTGGTACTTCTTACTTTCTGATAAGTCACCATTTATAAAGGGTTTGTACGTTGTAAATAATGACTTAATGAAGATGATTATCTGTTATAAGCCTTTTCAAGAACAACTTTCTTTACTACCTGGGTTGCCAGGTTGTAAAAATAAATAGAAAATACTCTGGCAGATGATTATCCTTTTTTTAAGATCTTTAATTAATCCTGAAGACCCTTTAATGGACCACTTCTGGAAAAAAAATCCATTCATTACCTAATTATAAACTTGACAGCCAACCCAGATGTTGTTCTTAGTGTGGCTTTTTTTTATACAGCATTAGTAAATGTCATTAGCCATTAATAAAGCCCTTAGTTATAAACCCTACACATGATTGATCAGAAAGTGGTACCTACCCAGAATACTTAATCCTGTCTCCTTTGCTGCTAGGAAGATAATCCAGCAAGAATGACTGCATTTAATAAGAGCTTTTCATTAAACCACTGTGAGTTTATGAGTGTGAAGAAAACACCAGCTTGTGCCATTTCTCACTTGATTGTGCTGAATTGTGAGGGTTGTAAAATTAGAAACAAAGCCGCAATTTGTGCATATCGATTTTGCACAAAGATCTCTAAACTGCTGGGCTTTGGCACATATCGGGCAGCAACCTAAACGTAGGGAGTAAGACTTGTGAAAGCCTGGTGGAGGTACTGACTGCCTGTTTGCTCAACAGTGCGTCCGCGGAGACGCACTGTTGCCATGACGACCATGAATACTCGCAAGGCTGCCGCTGCTGCTGTGACCGTCATAACCTCAAACGGAGGCAAAGTAAGGTAACTTATATGACATATTATGCAGTTAAACTATAATAACAGCCGACCCAGGGTCACAGTGGGCTCTTATCTTCCCGTTGTCCTTGTTTAACGTGGATGTTGTTAGCTAGCGTTAGCGTAAGAGCTAACCTGTGTGGACGCATGCGCTGTGTTGTCTAAAGCTAAACTTTACATTTAGCTTTAGACAACAGCTGCAACATGCCTCTTTCTCAGACAGGACATTATAGTGTGTGTGTGTGTATACCCCACATTAGTTCATCGTTGCTTTCTATTCTATAGCTATTCACAGTGGTGTAGTGTAACTAATGTACACTTACTGAAGTAACTTACTGTACTTTTTGCACAGTATTTCTATTTTATGCTACTTGGCGCGGACAAATGTTGGACTTTTTTCTCCACTACGTTTAATTTAATTGATAGCTAATTACTTAGGAGATTCCCACTTCACAAAAAACGTGTTCAGTTTATAAAATATGGTGCATTGGTGCAGATTAAACCACCCAATAGTAGTCAGAATGAGCTCAGCTATAATAACACTAAAATGCACTGATGGTTTTGATACTTTAAGTGCATTTTGATGATAATAGCTACTTCTGTCCTTTATGTAAGTACAGTTATGAATGCTGCACCTTAACTTGCGATTATAGTATTGTTTAACTAAAAGGTCTCAGTACTTCTTCCACCACTGCACATACGTCTGCATAGTTAGACACAACTTGGGGAAGGTGTGTGCTCTTTTCCTGCAACACGACAGAACTGTTATGTACTCTACAGTCCAGCTAGTGTTGCATCGAATTCAGCAGGTTACAGAAAATAAAATACTTCATATAAAATGAATGTGTTTTTGTCAAAGGACGTCGGTGTACACCAGAAAAAGTTCCCCAGACTCCGAGATGGAGGCAGCTTGCAAAACAGAAACATCTAAAAAGAAAACGCCTACTTTGGAGCTGGCCGGTGTGACACAGGTACAGATGATACACGGTTTAAATTTACTGGGTTATTTCTAGAAATGAGTTAAAAGTGTCCAAAAGACTCTACAGACGATCGAATAAAGAGATATGTTCTCCGAGGGATGAATGTTTCACTGTTGTGACTTATCCGTCAGCTTCCAGAGAGCACCAATTGCCTGGCGTGCTCGGAAGACGGCAGGTACCTCAGCCTGGGTCACTGCCAGGGTTTGTCTGTGTGGTGTGCGTCTTCTCTGAGCCGTGTTGCAGAGTGGCTGCAGGACAGACTGGAAATTACATCTATTCAAATGACCAGGACAGCTGAGATGTTCTATCTGCTTGGCACTGTTGATGACATGGGTGGGTAGTACGCCTCTGATCAGCCACTGACTCGCTTTAGTTTCTGCTTCCTTTCCTGCCTAATCCCTGTATAGATTTCCACATAATAACAAATACAGATTGGCAGCTTGATCCTGGAGTCATGAACCATTGCTGTGCTGAACTGAGACGTCAACACCTGTGAATTAGAGGAAAGAAAAGTAGAGAAAAAGGTTTTCAGAGTGTAGGAAGAGGTACATGTGCTAAAACTGTATCATTATCCTGACATCAGCTGCTGTCGTCTTTCACTGCAGGTGTTGCCAGAGTCTTTGTATATCACTGTGAAGGCATTCACCTCCTCAGTGCTATTAACAACATGGTGAGTAGTGTCAGTGTCATTTCCTGAGATATACCTTATCATATTCTGTTTGTCCACCACCAATCTTTTCATAGTTGTATGAGAAAAAATAATATGTTGAAAATGTTTATCTATAGGATGTCGTTTTCATTTTTGAATTCATGTAATTCCCTTTAGGAATAGAAAAAAAAAAGATAACAGATTCACAAAATACTTTCAATATCAGGAAAATATCAACAAAAGGAGCATCTGCTTGACATTTGAACTGTCTGAAGGGGGAGATTATGGAGCCGCATCAATGAGCTGTAAGTAAGGGCTTACTCTCAGTTTTTATTATGTGACTTCACATTGACATACTGAATTATGGAAATTTCACACTTCCTTTCAGGCAGTGGTGCTCTGTGGCTTGAGGTCTATCACTTCCCGTCAGAATCATGGCTGAAAGAGTTAGAGATGGCACTGTCACAGAAACAGCAGGTATTGTACTAGATTTAATTGCTAGGTTGGTTTGAGCGTGATTGTGTTTTAGGCATCATATTAGACATCTTACTAACAGTGACATTTAATTATCATCTGCCATTTTAATCTGAGCTTAGTTTAGGTTTAACTTTTTTATTGAAGACGTTCGTTTTAAATTGAAAACAAGAGAAGAAAAGAAAGTAGTAAAATTAAGAAAATGCTAAATATGTGCAGAAATACAGGCACACAATGGCAAAAAATAACAGAAAAAGGCTTGTGCTTAAAACGTGTTGCAGTCCTGAGTAGCTGCCAGTCTTTTTGTATTCTTCATGTCAGTAAATGCCTGTCTGCGTGCACATTTATACAGACATACTGACCTGGCTGGAAAGCAGATTCCTAATTTACATTACACAATTTTAATGACATATGCCATTTTAATTATACGACTTTACAGCAGTGAATTAAAAGTTCAAAACGTTTTCATTATTTTGAGGAAAAACCTTTAGGCAGTTGGATTTATTTTTTATCCTCAGGACCGAAGCTCATCTGGAGATGTGGAAGTGAAATGGTCTCCAATTGCAGTGGTGATTAGAATTAAGCCACCCACAATCCCTGCAGGTATAATTTTATATAGAGTAAAAATGTAATACAACTATAATTTGATATAATTGAACTGAACCGAAATAAAAAAAAATTGTGTGTGTGTGTGTGTGGAAGTGGAAGTGGTGATGTAGATGCAGAGGTGTGTGTACCTGTATGTATCTCTGTCACTGATTATGACATGTATAAGCGTCCCATCAGTTTTCACAGTATTTTGCTGTTGCCAGTAAAATAATGATCATGCAGCCGAGTCAATATCCCAGCATGCTTCTGCTGTTTTGCAGGGACAGCATTGGATGATCCACTTGAGGTCTTGCAGATGACGGACTTTTTAACACACTGCCTGGCTCTGGATGTAGACACCAGCAGCAGTCGTCAGTGGGAGGAAGCGGCTTTTGATGCAGATGCAGGAAAAACAAAGGAAACAAATGAAAGCCCAAGGTTACGATAAAGCAGTAGTTCCCAACCTTTTTCCTTTTCTATCATTGAATAAACTGACGACTGTATATTTTTAAAGTTTCCTTATACCCCTTAAAATCAACCCCATGAAGATTTAGCGACCCATAGTGCGGGTCCCGACCCCCAGGTTGGGAACCACTGCAATAAAGTGTGCACAAATACAATCAGCATTTCACAGCTAAGCTGCTATGATAGCACTGTTATAGATCTAATATGTGGTAACATTCACCGATCAGCCATAACATTATGAGCACTAACAGGTGCCATGATAACCAGATAATCAGTGTTATTCACTTCACCTGTCAGTGGGTGTGATCATGGAAATCATTAAATGTGTGATGTTCAGCCTTTTTCTTGTGTTTTTCAGACGTTGCACCCACCACTTTCTTCTGTCTTGTGGTCAGTTTCCTGGTGTCAGTAAAGCAAAGTCTCAGCCAGGTTTGTAATAGATGAGTATTTGAAATTTGAGTGTTTAATATGTGAATCTATAAAAAAGAATGATGTTAAACAATTGGCCATTAGTGTTTCAGTGGTGTGTTCACTATAAAAATGTTGCAGTCCAGAATAATAGGTCATATGCAAGGTCTTTGTGATTTAAGGTATAACCCTGGGTGAATGGCAGATTGACAGGCATAAGGATATACCCGAGCTAATGAATTCATTTGGATTTTATCCCTCATATTTATTCAATCCCCTGTAATAGCATGTGGTGACAGGCCAAGCTCCTTTTAATGTTGTCTTTAATCCCTGACCTTTTGTCAGCAGGGTTGTCTGTTGCTGTCTGTGTGTGGTGGAGTGGCAGCCATAATCTTCTTCAGTATTTGCTGCAAAAAGCGCCAAAGAACAAAGCAGGTAGGGATTCATTTGTTCAGAGATGATCTACTTGATGTTCACAACCACATCTTTAAAATATGTTGCCTGTTTTTTTACTCAGCACAGCTTGTGTCTGCTGTGGGCAACAGGCATACCTGTTTTGTTTTGATCCTTCTGTGTTTGAAGCAGATGTGGAACCCATGCCAGATGTGTTGTGGCCAAATGCAAAGGAAATCCTCTGCTCTGCTGTCAGTAGATGCACCCGTTACATAGCTCTTGGGCTTGATGATGGTTTGGTGTGTGTCTGGGACAGGCAGTTGGGTGAGCAAACCTTATCATATATTATAAACCTTTGGTTTGGGTAAAGTGAGATTAAGCCTGAATAAAAAAAAAAGGAAAAAAAAGCGATGTTTACTACTGTTCAGCCTCTAACTATGTCTCCAAACCACTTTATTGTTGTTGATAAGCTACAAGCAAAATCATAGATACTTGAAAATTACTATTTATTTTGAAAGTGTCTGTTGGTTGATAAATATGGCATAAGTTTTGTATTCTGCCTTCACAAACTCAGTCGGTAAAAAAGTTCTATAGGTTATATTGTATATTGTTAATAGAACAGACAACACAAATAAATAATTGAAGTAACTACTGGCAAGTAGCTGCGAAGAATCTTTCTCCATCTGTGTTATTTGACAAGCTTACAGTGTTTGTTATTTATAATGTTAAAGCTCTGTGTGATAGCTTGGCACAATAGCGGCACCGTTTTCATAATCTTCATCAGCAGTCCAATACTTTAGACACTGCAGTGTAATATCCGGTATACTATGAATTGGAAAGGGCAATTCAGATCGGCCTTAAATTAAAATAACACCAGGTAACTTTAAAAAAAAGAGAAAATATCAAGTTTTCCCTCTTACAAATTCAGAGTTGAAATTATAAGTAATAAAAAACACTCTAGCTCACTCAAGGGTTTTGTTGCTACACCTTTACTATGACCAGTGGCTTATGGTGGCTAATGTTCGCTAACTTCAGCTAGATATTGCTGAATAACTGACACTACTGAGTCAGTTGGCTGACTTTAGGATGTCCTTTACTCATGCTGCTGTTACGCTACGTTTCAGCATCAGTCACACATACGTTTCAATGGTTCTATCACAAAAGTGCAAACAAAAAAGAGGCCATCTTCCTCTTGCAAGTCCGTTACACTGACATCTTTGAGAGAACATAGTGGTTTGTCTGCATCGCTGAGTGCTCCTGTTGTTAAATTACCCCCGGACACACACAACCACACGCATTAAAGCATGATTCAGTGAATTCTATCAAGCTCTTCGGTCCAGTTAGTTGTGATATATTTAGGATTTCCCCGAAAGGAAAAAGCGATAATGAGGCAGAATCCGTTTGTAGGAAGATACAAATTTGTGTGCATGAGTTACTGACAAGCTAACAACCATTTTTAGAGGTTTGTAATATAAACAAGGTTATAGCCTGTTTGATTCTCATTGTCTTGTCCTTTCCTCAGGGTCTCCGTTGTCTGTTGTCCCGGTATCAGCTACAGACACTGCCTTCTCCTGTATGCAATTTGTGGATTACTGGCCTGTGTCGGCTAATGATTCCCAGACTTTTACCGAAGCAAAAGTGAATCTTTTGGTGTTGTGTAAAAGTGGAACAATTCATACTGTCACCACAGGACGAGGGACACGATCCTGCACAGTGCAGCTCACTGAAAGGTTACCTGAAATGTACATATTTAATTGAATGCATGCATCTAACTTTTCCTGTCAAATGAAATGCTATCATATTGTATCAGAAGAAAAAGAGGTTTCCTGTGTCTCTACAGGCCAAAACACAGCGGGGACCTCCCAACTGTCACTGCATCAGTGCCATTCCTGCAGAGCTTGGTAGAAACACTCAAATTGTTGATAGAAGGTTTAAAGCACATAAAACTAATTTTATAGAACTTGCAGTATTTTAATTGCTGCTGTCTTATTTTTCTTACCTCAACTAGTCGCTTGTGGTGCAAAGAAATGGAAAAATGTTTCTCCAAGATGTCATCAACAAAACCACCGTGTGCTTCTTGATTCCTCCCCCAACTCATCTGATTGCTACTCCCTGTAGTCCTGTTTATGCCCTGAACACCAAACAACAAACTCTGTTCATAAAAGGTAACAACACAACACAACAACATTTGTGTTTTGTTTGCTGAAAGATTTGTCAGCTTCAGGAAAAAGGAGGGAATCACTGGTGACGTTCAAGAAGACTATGACATTGAACAAGTTCATATTACATGGATATGTAAGCAATAAATCTGCAATAACAAGGTGAAATGGAACTACTGTAACTAAAGGCTTTAATGTCTCAGCAGGTGACCAGGACCCCGGCTGCAGTGCGTCTTCTAAAGAAGGAAAGCAGAGTCAGCTATTCACCTTCCGTTTTGGAGAATCTGACATCTTTAAGCAGTATATTGTTTCACTTCCAGACTCTCCGCAACAACAAAAAACACTGAGCTGTGTCACTCTAGAAAAAGCCTGCAACGTCTACCTTCAGCAAAGGTTGCTTTTCTTTTCCCCTGTAATCTGAATATGTGGTGTCCAGTTATTTTTTTTTTAAATGTACTCTTAAAAAAAGTCTGATGATACGTAGACTTTGTAGCACGAAGAGTTCATTTTTGAATGTTAAAGCTGTGTCTTGTCGTGGTTTTATGTGCAGAGTGGCATCCGGTGGGGAAAGGAACAAAGCTATAACGCAGACCTGGAAGCAGCTACAGGAAACTGCAGGGATGGTACAACAGAGACACAGCAGGGCTGCAGCCAGCTGAAGAACTGCAACGATACGTAGATTCATTGATTGATAGAGCTACTATTGTACATGGTGTGTTCATTTTATGTTGTTTTAAAGCTTCTTCTGATTCCCACTTCCACTGCACTATTCTCCTTGATACACACTGCTCATTTAAACACAGATGTAATATCTGTTATATTTCCTTTTTTCTTCATTTTTACACAGGGATGCTGTTTAAACAATTCATACCGTCATACCTAATGAATATATAAATGGTATAGTCATGTTTTGTTTGTGTAGCTATAAATACATATAGCAAATGATCAAATATAACATTTTCTCCAGGGCTTTAAAAAATGAAGGCAGTGCCACAACCCCTTTTTCACAGCAGCCATTTCGACATTAAATTATAGGGTACGCACAGGTGTTACCAATGATGCTAACTTAGGATTTGTTCCATTCAGGTGAAACAGAAATGGAACGAACCTTAATTAGTTTCATTGGTAAAACCTGTGCATACCCTACAATTTCATTTCAAAATGGCTGCTATTCTGTTCTATTCAGGCTAAATTGATGCTAACACTAAAGGTTCTGTTTATGAAGCAGGAGTAAGCAGTAAATGCCATGGTAACTGGATCCACGGTTGCAAGAATTGTCCACTGGTGAATCATAACATGATTGAGGGAGAATAAGTATTTCTTTTTGAATATTTTAAATTGATCCTCGTACAGTAACACTTTAACTCAGTGGCTCTGCCTGTAAATGCACTCTGACTGTTAGTAACTCCTTGTTTCAATGTATTCCACTGGTCCAAATGTACATTACCAACATAACCTAATCTCCAGTTCTGATTTGCTTTTAAGACAATTCAAACAGTTGTGTCTTTCTGTATAAAAAAGGATTGACATTGTTTGTTGTGTTGACTGTGGCAACATTTTTATATCTGTGGTACTGGTAGGTCATCTCTAATATACAGGATGACTGATTATGACTGGGCCGTATTCAGTAATGGCACATTGGCATTTTGTTGCCTTTAGGGTCCTTGAATGCTTAATGAGTCATGTTTTTAATGTCAGAAGACACAAAAAGTAGGACAGTGCAGAGATTTTGCTTACTTTTCTTAATTTAAAGCAAATACATGCCACATGCAACCGGAAATACTCATTCAGGGCTTTGCCTGTCTATAATGTGAGAGTTTAGGTTTAGACAGAAGAGGTATGTTCTTGTCCATCATTTATACAGTTTGTATAATTTAATGTAAAAAACAAACAAACGTTTCATTCAGTTCTTTGACCCTTTGACCCTACTGAGAAGTTATCCCAATGTGTAACAAAATGTAAATTGAAAAGATTTACTCAAGAATTTCAGTTTAAAATGCATTTTCCAATAAACAAAGTGCAAAAACCCTGCTTTTCAGGATTATGTATATATAAACAAAATGGAGACAGCGGGTGGACAGCGTTAGTAACTGAGTACTTTTATTTCTGGCAAACACACATTCAAATTGAAGGGAGCATAATCAGCTACTAAATAATGTCCATATTTATTGAATACCAGGGCAACAGCAAATTTAGTTTAAAATATGCGAGGTGGGCACACAGTCGGAAAATCTCAATCTATCAGAGACCATACTGTTCAGTTATATCTAATAAGTAATGTGTGGCTGGAGAATCATTCCTGATTGGCTCCTTGTTTGAGTTTAGATTGGTGACAGAACAATAATGGGAATTCTTGTACTTGGGTGCTCATTTCACTGAGTGCATTTTGGATCACTTGTGCAGCATTTCTGCTATTATACACACAAATGTATCTACATTGATGTAGTCCATCTTCACCAGACAGTGTTTATACTGTTCAATCAGTTCAAACTGTGGTGTCTCTTTGTCAAGAGAAACTGATACTGATTTTAATATATTTTTGAAAGCAAAGCTTCATTTGAATTTCTATAAAGCTTTGTTGAGGGTGCCAAAGGGCCACACATCATTGAAAGTGTAATGAAAGCTCCATTCAAAGAGTTTGGCATGTGTACCCATCAGATATTTACCGCCTCTTAAATTAAACTAAGCAACGACAAAGAGGAGAGACTTTCATTCTTGTCACATTTGTCTCATTTGACTTTTTAATTGACTCTTCTATATCAATGTTTTTATAGATGTTGCTGTCCTTTTCTCAGATACGTACAATTAACTGTAATATCAGCATTTTATATATATTCAGTAACACTCATTGGCAACAGCTAAGGTAAGAACAAGTACCTTAGCGGTTTGCTTATCTGAAAAATGTCTTCCTCTTAAGCTGAATGACTGTTGAAAGCTACAAAAGCTAGTGAATGGAGCTTTGAAATTATTGTGTTACATGAATAATAAATGCGGAAGTTCTGAAATGAAGTTGATTAAAGGATTTCTGCATTCTGTGAAATACTTCTTGTCGCTTGCCAAAAGTTACGAAGCTACAGATAGCAGCCAAATGTGTCGCTCTTACACTCTGTTTTCTGTATGTGATTAAACAAGATATAATGTTGATGGATAAGCTTGTAAGCTGGTGGGCAGGTTTGGTTACGAGTCAGGGTAGCTGTCCCCTTCCTGTTTCCAGTCTTTATGCTAAACTAATCTAACCTGCTGCTGGCGGTATCTTCATATTTAGCAGAGTGTTATCGATCTCTCTGCAACATAGTGAATAACTACATTTCTATAAATGTTGTGTTGTAAACTGTTCCTTTAATGGATTAGTTGAATGACAGAATATGAATAGGTAACAGTTATAATAATCATTCTGGCAAATTTAAGCAAAAATTGGAAAAGTCACTGTCTGCAGCCTCTCCAATCTGAATATTTTCTGTATTTACTTATTCTTCTATGATAGTCAGCTGAATACGTTTAGGTTTTAGATTGTTGATCAGATAAAACACATCGTCTTAGGATCTAGGAACGTTTGATTGGCATGATAGTGCAATTAATTTGTTGACTGAGAAAACGAATTATTATCCATCGATGAATTAAAGAATAAGGAAAATAATCATTATTTGCAGCACACAAAAATTTTAAACGTTTTGTCAAAGGTCACACTTAAAATCAGGACACTTTTCCTGGTTCGGTTGGCACACCATATTTATCTGGAAATGATTCGGTGTACTTGATCACAGTCAGGAAGAGCAAATGCATGCGGAAAAAAGTTAATGAAAGATGGGTGATATATATATCAGTTTAGATAATGGATTCAGTTTCTTATCCAAGTTTAAAATTATTATGGCTTGTAGCCACAGTAGATAGTGACCTAGATAATCTAACATATGAAACACAGCAGCTGTTGTTACAGCTGGATTTCACAAACTGCCCAGACTAATTACATTTTCTGGCTACATTATCTGTGTTAAAGACATAAAAGAAGTGCATGTTGCTATGATTTACCTTCTAAAATTGCATGTTATGTCTCTCTTGTCTGCATTTGAGGTTCCTCTAATCTTCAACAACCAGCTGAAATAATATGGCACTGCACCTGAACCTACCTGTCTCAGTCATTCATTGTCGTGAACAAGAAGAAGAAGAAAAATGTTTAATTTTTCCAAAGAGCTAAGGGTTATTTAAAGTTCTCTGCCACACATGCATTTGTCATAATTCATAGCGAGAAACTTCCTTTCCATTCGGACTCTATGACTCATCACTGATTATAGGCAGCGGTCCCCTCAGGGACCCTACTGCGACACATCACTACAAACATAGAAGTGTGTTTGCATAAGAGATCTGCACAGAAATTGCACGCCATTGCTGTACAACAGGAATTTGCATGCATAAAATTTTATTTCTATGTGTGATTTTTCATCTCTTCCTCACAGGGCTTGTTGTAATTTCACCTCTTAAAATGGGCCGTCAATGTTTCAGGACAGGAATGGATTCACAATAGACACTCCAAATTACAGTGAATACATTTAATTCAAGATGAACAAAGGTTACAATTTACAGAGGACTGAAATGAGAAGACAGAAGCTCATAGGTTAGTATAGTGTGATCAGTGAATTTATTTTATGAAGCTTCCCCTTTTCAAGGAAATACAAAGTTCTGTATTTCCCACCCAGCTTTGTGTTACACAGAAGCACATTGCGATTTATGAAGTAACGACACGTAGCATTCAAGGAATACAGGACCCCCACACATCAGACACTGAATAAAACTGAATAAATAAAACAGTTATATAGCAGTAGTAAAAAATAGTCTCCACCCTCCTCATAGGTTGCTCTCAGAGCTGGACTGGTTTGGATCTCTTAAAAAGCTGCTCCTCGGTGACGTCAACTCTGCTCTGCTGTGGTTATCGCTGTACAACACGAACCTCTCCTGGCTGGCAGGGCTCACCTCTCTTTTCAGTGGCAACGAGTTGGCAGCACAAATGAAGGATCCGGTTATAACCGTGTTGTTATCCAGGTCGGACGCCTTGGTGGCGTTGCAGTAATACCTCCGCAGCCCCTTTCGGAAGTGAATGGTGAACAGGCCGTAGATGACCGGGTCGAGGCAAGCGTTGACGAGCCCAAAGATGAACAGGATGTGGGTCAGTGAATGGGAGACCTTCCCCTCCAGGTCGTCGGGGAAGAACCAGTACCACAGTCCCAGCAGGTAGTATGGAGTCCAGCAGACGATGAAAGACGACACGATCACAATACTCATTTTAAGAGTTCTCATCCGGGCTCTGGGGATGTTATTCTTCGAACGCCGCAAATGCACTTCATTAGAGGGCACTAAGAGCACAAGAGATGACAGAAACAAAACAGTAAACAAACAATACATTTATTATACAAAAATATATTGTTTAATATATGAAAAATGTAGTTTCTCACTCTTTAAGCAGATTTGCTGAAATTGCAGTTTTTAAGGTTTGTCTCACAGCACTAACAAAACTAACAATCTACAGCCACAGAGTGAAGATATTTGACCTAAATGCTATTGATGGATATAATGAATCCATCAAGAGTATCCATACAAAGGTTCATGGCAATTAATCCGATAGTTCATCTAATAGTTGTCCAATAGACATTTCACTAAAAACCCCAAAAATGTAAACCTCATGGTAGCGCTTGAGGAAAAGTCAGGAGGGTACCACCATAGTCAATAAGATTCATCCTCTGGAGAACATGAATTTCACAGCAATCCATCTGATAGTTGTTGAGATATTTCAGCCCGGAACAAAGCCATGGACCGACTGCCCAACCAACAGACCAACAGACCGCCATTCCAAAAGCCTCGCCCCAACATCTTGTTCGAAAACCACACTGTTAAGAGTTTTGAGACTATTTCTTCAGTAGATTTATGTCATGAAAATTGCACAGTGTCTGTGGATTATACCGAGCAACAGGTTACACAATGGATGTAAAACGAGTCACATCCACATCC